TGTGTATGCTAGGATTCTGTATAACCAGAGTAGACAGCTCTTTCCTCTAGAATTATATCCATGACTACGATATATTATAGTATAGATTCGTATTGTAAACAAATTATTCTCTCGGGAACAGAGCGGTGAACTTACAGAATTACCAATAATCCATCGTAGAGTTATAGAGAAATAAGAGAACTAATTATTTTAAGGATCACAACACCGACCCGTATTACGGGTTTTAGGAGGAGTCCTTCCTAATATGCAATATTCTTATTTCAAATCTATCTTATAGATTGTCAATTCTCCATATTAATCTGCCATGTATAGATGTATGCGCATGGGATAAGATTTCTATCATAAGGGGAAGGAAAAATATTATGACAAAGAATGCTTCTTGAGGAATTAAATGAACATTTTGTATCTTCAGTAACGAATGTACAGAGAATTCAATACATTAGAGGAATTTTTCACTTTTTGCTTGTTACACTAAAATGGACACTCCACTATATTGCTAATATATGGAAAAAAATAGCCCCATCCAGTAAAATCCTTTAAGTACTCCCTAACTAAGCTGTCCATAAACCCCTATTGGCCAGATTAGAGGAGAAAATTCCAGCTTATGTATGAGAGAGCTGAACAATTGATTTAATTTGATTTCTGACGAATGAAGGAAGACTTCTTGGACACTTATTAGTATATTTTATGTTTTGGACTTAATGTAGTTATTAATGCACGTATTTACAATTATGTACAGGGGATGTTTATAGATCAATTTGTTTTTGCAAAGTTATAATGAAATTTTATTATGCATAGAAAGAGTATTGATTCCTTCCATTATATATCCTCTAGAGAAATATGAGAAATCTTATCTAAGGAGAGGAGGGACAAAGTCGATATGAATACCGTACCGAGTCGCTACTCTTCCCTAATGTGAGAAGGGATGCTCAAATTAGGCGAAATGCTGTAGGCATATCAAGGCAAAAAAGTGGGAAATGTTGGTAGTGATTCAAAGATAGGCTTTACACTAGCAGGTGTATCATATTGAAGGGGATATTCATAATGGTCTATTATGACATTGCCAATAGACACTGTATAAATATTCATCCGATTCATGGAGGACATCCCATAAGTATTAATGAACACCGTTGTGAACGGCCATGTCTGTATTTAGTAAGTGTAATATCGAACAATAGAATTCTAAGTTGCTTTATGCGTCAGTATCACTGTTGTTACAGTTATATTGGAATCTTATCTTCTGTATTATCAGTATCCGAGCAGGAATAACGTCTTCAGGATATATTTAAGGAGCAATCAGACAATCATGCCTTAAGAACGAGAAAAGAAAGAATTTGTACATTTCAGTTTTGAGCGAGATATATGCTCAGAATGGGGAATCCATTAATATAATTTGGAAATTTCCTTTTAGCTTACACTAGGGAGGGTTTATTAAAATATACTCTATGTCAATTTAACGGGACGCAGAGACAGAATAGCATGTGGACATGTAGCTCATGTTTCTCTGCAATGGTATAGGACTGTTCTTCCTAGAATAGGTGCAGAGACATTTCAAAGGAATAGTCACACATGTATAGTCCAGTTATATGATGTTAGACAATAGATTCCGGTTCATCGACTGCATTGTAATTAGAATTAGTTATAATATGGTGTCCTTTTTTGAAGAGTGCAGGACGAGATGTGTGTAATTTGAAAAAGTAAAAAAATGCTCATAAGTGTTCTCAAATGGAGCGTCCCTATCCGTACCGTTAGCTGTGGTTGGACCAGAACTGAGGAAAGTATAGAAGAATAGGAGAAATGAGGAAAAAGCCAGTTGCTTCTTAGAGTGATCCTTACATGTAAATTTCGGTAGAAGTTAATAAATTTCATAACGAGACTTTTAATAAGAGGAGGATATTTATAAGAAGAACTAGTAATTTTCAATTATTCGGTAATTATGTACGATAAAAAGATATACATAAGAAGAAAAAAGACTTCATAATTATATTGCCAATATATAAGCTGTCTACAAATCATATTTAAGAGCTTCATCGCCATTGCCAGTACATGTAGTTGAGATAATTATTAACAAGAACTATTAATCTGTATGACGTTTCTGTCTCTTCTCTTAAATTATAGAAGATTGAGAGTGTGTACATATGAAAAGAGCGTGTAGTATTTCGTACATGCAATAGTGATCATGTAACAGGTGCAATTTTCCTGAAAATATCGTAAGAATACTATTAATAATAAGAAGTATATGGAACGATGAAAGGAAAGAAGTGTCTATGGTGTTGTCACCATGGCCTCCCGTGTGTAATGTATTTACGGATGCTAACATAACCGTATTGTGTGACCAGAGAAAAGTAACCAAAGCTTTGTTCAGACAATATAACAATTCACTTTACAAACGTACTGCATTGTATATGCTGTAGGATTATCTATGATTGAGAAACCTTTTGTAAGATTTATTATTATTTCGTATGAGTTACTTGAATCCAAATTGTTCATGAATGTGCCCAATGATGAGATAACTTCTTTATATACGTATTCCTGAAATTTTTATATTTCCAGTTGGATTTCATTAATGAAATCTGTGGATCATGACACCATGGTCAAATTTCAGGTAGGTGCTGATTCTTTTTAATCATTTTTGTCTGAATTAAGATTTCATTCCAATCCGTTGCTGTATGAGCGGCAGAATGACAATGAGTACTATTGCTCTTGTTCGGTGTGAAAAGAACCCATATTTTGAAGTATTTTTACGAGAAAATGGAATACTTTTCATTTGATGCATGAAATTCATGGTAATATTTAAATAGATCTGAGTGAGGATAGAAATGGTCATTGACTGATAGAAGATCCATGAGTTTCTCGAGAATTTCATCTGAAGTTTATTCGTTAATTGGTTCTGCAGATGTAGTATAATATATGTCCAGGGCATTCATTACCTTCCCATTTAGAATGAAATATTTGTGTGTACAATAAGTGAAACGACTGA